CCAATTTCATGCAGCTGATAATTTCAAAAGAGATAATATATTTCATTTATTCAAAAGATATAAATATCAAATGAAGATACCATGTCATATACAATCAATGAACCCCAAATCTATCCTTATATCCTCCTTATTTCCGCTGACCGGACCCATGGGTTAAGTTCTTTCCATTTGACTGGCTACTGTGACAAGCTCACCACACAAGTGATATAAACCGGTCAAAGACCACAGAGCACTCGGTGGACTATGGGTCCCCTCTCAAAGAACTAGTAGGATAATAATAATGGCCAACCATAGAGCTTCTTATGAAGGCCAATATCACGTGGCAAGTATATAAATCTTAGTAACTCTAATTACTTCCTTCCCCCACCTAAACTAGATGCATAAGGTTCACAATAACACATTTATATGCGTAATCAATTGAATTCCAGAATAATACCTCATAGTCATAATCATTAATTTCCAACAACACAAACAATTTCAACCCTTTTCAAATTAGTATCCCACAAGACAGTTCATATAAAACATAATATACATATACAAAAATTGGTTATAAAACCACTCACTAACTTCATACCAGGGCATGTAACAAATAGAAATTTAATTACCTGATCTCCTAGCTAATAGTTAAGTACAAACAAGGCCCATACTCAAAAATGCCACAATAGGGTTTATATCTACAATTGAAATTAAAACATTATCTCTACAATATTAGAGTAAACTACTCACAAATTTCTAGCATTTAACGCTCCATCTAATACTTTCAACTATTACTCAAAATTCTAGCTCGAAAGGCTTTTTCTAAGGTTTGGGATAAGAACATATATATAATGATTTATATTCAATTCCTAGGTTTTCTTAACTTACATTATCTTTAATTATTAAATTATATTATTTGAATTACCAAATTCATAACCTAGATAGAGAACCCTCAATTTATAGCTTATGTTCTATCTTTGAAGAATTTAGACAGACAACTTCAATATGAGTTAATTTATTCTTACTGTAGAAGTCTAATTATTAATCCAATTATTGAATTTGATGTCTTACATGTCACAAGTCTACTCTCTAAATTTCGGGTTAAGCCAACAGTAAATGAATTTAAAAACACTAATTTACTATCTAGTATTCTATCTACTAAATCTAAAAAAATAAATAACAAAGTACCTAATAACTTGTAACTCAGATATTGAATTGACGATCCAACCGTTAAAATTGACGAGTACGAAGTCCAGGACTAGCTGACCAAATTACAGTAAGATCTAATAGTTCATGGACTCGTAAACAACACTTTATTGAGACTATCTCAGTTTTGTGGGAAAATCATTTAATTCATCTTTAACTCTCCTCTACTACCACCTATATATAGGCTCACAGAGCTCCCTCTTCCCATTATTTAGTCAATGTGGAACTTCTTAACATTACTATTTTATCTATCTTCCTATTATTTAGTCAATGTGGGACTTCTTAATATTGCTATTTTATTCATTTTCTCATATATATATACACACCCACACACATATATATACATATACATAAGATCATAATTATTTTAGTTGCATATATATATATTCAACCTCTTTTTTTTTTATTGAATCATAATAAATATCTACTTAAACCTGAGGGACAGCAAAATTAGGATGTTACACAATTATTATATCTAAACAAGTTGCAAATATCACCATCATCACAAAGATCAATCAATGTACTCTCATCAAATTTAACTTTATACTTAATCTCATATCCACTACCATCATTATTGCCTATCCACTGTGATATTATTCCACACAACTCGTCTATTATTATCCATTCTTTTATACTGGTTACCCTTACACTCCCTCTAATATATTTAACTACCCCTTCACAATTTGCTTCAAAATGTCCACCAACATGCACATAACAAAACAACTCCTTCCCACACCTTCTTCTATTATTGAAATTCATTTTTCATACTAACCTACAGCAAAAATTTATGTTTATGTCAATACATCAGCTTCACTAATAAATATTTACACATTTATTCCATCAACTCAATCATCTACATACCAAAATAAAAACACGCGACCTCCTGTCTTCCCAACTTCACTTTAGGGCTTCACAACTTCAACACCCAAAATCATGGCATCCTTATTCCCTCCTTCCACGGCAACACCTGAACCTTTACACTCAAACTAATGCCCATTATCCTGCCCACACTCTACCAAACCACTACACTCCTAACCCTTCACCATCGCCACCAATACCATGCACTGCAAATGAGAGATCGCCAATCACACTAGAAAAATAAAAATATAAAAATATCCCACCTCCAACTAATCACAACCTCCTACATTTTGATATCTTTCATCTTCAACTATACCTCCTATTTCCTCCTGTCCTCCAGCCTACCCACCCACACAGCAAAGATGAAGATGAAGAATATCACAATGCGCAATTCTTAGAGGGAAGAATAGAAGAAGAGTTTAGTCAGTAAGTTACACACTTCATTGCCAATGTTGGAAGCTCTTCCATCCCAATATCACACACACGTAGGGTCTTCCTTCTCCAGCTCTCCCACCATTATATTTCTTGTCTCTACCTTCATTAAAGAGTCAGAATGGTTGAGGGCATTTTGGACATTTTACCCACGTTTTATATTTGCAATTTGGGACCAAGTCCTTTGAAGCTATTTTCCAAATTCAGGGTGCCAAATCGCAATTTTACATATTAGGGGTCTTTATTTGCAATTTTCCCTTAATATTATATTTTATATTTATATATATTGATATAAATATTAATATTAACATATATGTCAATATGGGTATAGTTTAACATATTTATACGTTAATTTTTATATATTTATATCATATCTATATTAATAAACATATATGATAAATAATGTCATATATATATGTATTTAATTTTGCAACAAAAAGATAAAATTTTATCACATGGCAGGAGGCTCAATACTACATTGAGGTGGTCATGGGCTCAAATCTAGAAAAGGTGCATTTAAGAGATGAAAATATTAAGCTGAGCTGTGACACTAATTTTGGGATTAGGTCATTGTGAACTGTTGCTAAATAGTTAATGAAGATGTTTTTTCCATTCTATTATGTTTATTCTTGAATTAATATACTTTACCGATTCTTCTAAAGTATTGCTCAGATAATGGTAGAGGTATTCAGCTTTAAGAAAAAAATTAAATCAAATTAAATTATTGGACTAAACAAAGACTCATCAACTGTACTTATAGAAATTGAAGGATATGGCTTTTTTCCCCCCTAAAGTATAGATATCCTCCTATTGGAGATAATTCTATTCGAGGCACTATCAGGCACTAAATGTGGGCACTTCTCCCAACGGAAATTCGAACCTTGATTCGCCACGTTGTGAGGGACTAGGCCCTTCCGTTAGACCCTATCCCTATTGGTAAAGATATGGCTTTTAGTTGAATATAAAATTGAAAGATGGCCGACCATATTGCAGATGTTGCCCAATCCTCCCGATGAAAGAGAATACATTATTCCCCTAAAATTGAAAGAGGCTTTGTATTATTTTACTTTCCTGTACACTCAATATTACTGTTGTGAATCATTTCATTTATTAAAATAATATACTCCTCTTGTGCTTAATATAGGGCCTAATTTAGGAATAGATTTAAGTCCTATAGATATGGCATATTTTACATATTTATCAATTTTTTTCTCAAATTAATCCTATTGATATTCCCACAATGATAATCAAGTTGGAGAGGAAGGGGAGAATTGAGGAAGATAATTAGGATGTTTTAGGAAAAAAATGATATTAACTAATTAAACCAACATCCTTAATCTACTTAAATTAATTAATTAAGTCTTATGGACCAAAGGAGCATGTCATATTGTAAAATAATATTTTAAATTTATCAAAATTAACTACAAGTAGTCACAAAAATACAACAAGAGTTGAAGTTACGGGAGCTTGATAACTAATTCATTTACTCTCTCTAGCCTCTGATACTACTTTCGGTTCTTAATATAAAAGATAGTTTGATATTTAATTTGATTCTAAATATAATATCTCAATCCACTTTGTTTTAAATATTTATCCACCCTTACACAAAGTAGTCCATATATTGGTTGCATTTGTTAAAGGTTTTCATGAAAGGATAATTATAATATATATTATTAGTAAGTGTATTTTATTAGAAAAGACAACATCTATCTATTACAAATAATTAACTTAACTAATTTTCTTAATCTTCTCAAATTAGTCAACTAGCTCTTTTATTAAAAGTTGGAAGTAATATTTATTTATAACTAATTTACACATACCAATAAAAATATTTAAAAAATTAAATTTATTATAAAATTTAAATAATTTTTAATACTATCTTTATTAAATCGCACTGAACTTCAATATCATATTAATTTCTATTCCCTCTCACCAATCTCATTAATTAAATCTACGTATATATGAAAGAAAACTATTTAATACTCAATAAAGCTATCGGATGTTTTATAAAAGTGACCGCAAAGCAACCATATATATATATATATATATATATATATATATATATGGGGACTGGAGGTAGTAAATTAAAAAATTAATTAAATTAATTACCTGTAAAAAATAGGGAGAATCCCAAAACATAATATTAAATTTTAAAATTCTAAATCAGTCATGTTTACTGTAACAATTGACAATATTTAGAAAGTAAATCACAACATATTTTTGTAGTCATTCTTAATTTTGGATTTGAAGATTTTACACCTTTTTTTGAATTTTTCCTAAAAAATAAGTCCTGTTGGCAAAAAAAAAAGTATGGATAATCAATAGATAAAATTTTTAAAAAATTGCAAATATAAGAGGAAAAAAAAAGAAGATTGGGATATTATACATATCAAAATAAATCCCTTAATTAGCTTTTATATTTATTATTTATTAGTGGAAGGAGTAAAATTTAACATGCATGTCATCTTAAAAAAAAAAAATACAAATGGGATTCAAATGAGGATCTTGAAATAAGTTCCAAAACTTTGCTAATATACGGTAAAGCTCTGCAGTCCTTTGAGGCTTTCAAGTTTGCATTGGGTCATTGATGCTGGAAACAGGCTCTTGAGTTTTTTGCATCCATGAACATGGACATGTTGCAGAGCTTGAAAGCTGAGGATTTCTTGAGGGTCCTCATTCCAAACTTGCTCCAGATTGGGTAATTCTTCCAATGTCATTCTTTTCAGCTGAAAAGACAAAGGCGTGGACAAGGGGCCCAAACCAAATATTGCCTTTATGGAATCACAATCTTGTACTCGTAAATCTTCCAAGTTACTCAGGAAACCAAGCAAATGACAAGGGATCACATAATGCGATAAAAATTTGCATCCAGCCACTGTCAAAGTCTTCAACTTACTGAAGCCTCCATTAGGAACTTGCATTACACCATGCCATATATCTTCAAGCTCAAGGTGATATTCAAGCCCTAAATGTTGCACACCACGTATATATTGTGCAAGCTGCTTAGAGGCCAAATAATTCAGTTTTGTTACTTTCTTGAGTTTCATTATATTTATACGTGCAAATTGAAAATAAGTAATATTTCTTCCTTACTTTTGTCACCTTCGACTTCTCCCCTCCCAAACTTTTGTTGATATTTAAATGAAAGTTACACTTGCAAAACAAATGAATATTACAGTTTTGCCAATTTCATTTCTAACTTAAATAATTAAACTTTCCTCCAAATGAAACATTAAATACACTCAATTAAATGCGTTTGAACAAAAATCAACAAATTTACAAAATGACTACAACCTTTTAACTTTGGTAAATTTTCATTAATTCAAAAAATTATATGTTCTGTTCATAATCAATATTAGGACCGTGCTACCCACTTGAGGTTAACTCAGATGGCAAAGACGTAAGCAAAAGGTCAAGTTCAAACCCTCCCAAGCTACTCCAATATTTAATGTAAGATCTGATTAAGTACCTTGAGTGGATTAAAGATATTAGTTAAATTAGTTAACATAATATATTTTATCTAAAACACCCTAAGCAGCTTTCTTATTTTCTTCATTCCTTCTTCTACTTGATTATTGTTAAAAAAATAGGGTTAATTTTAAAAAAATTGATAAACATGTGAAATAGGTCTTACATATAAGACCTACATCAACTCTCTAATTAAGTCCTATTATAGGACCAAACTCTAGAGGATTAAGGGTGTGCGTGTGTGTGTGTGTGTTTTTTTTTTTTTGTATCCATTGCCCTCAAACAAGCTCTTTATTTGCTATGAACTGTAATTTAATATAATGTGAAATATATAAGAAGAATTATTGAAATTCTAAATTTAAATCACATTTGTTCTTAAAAACCACTATGTTATGAAAATTAATGAATACCTAAAAGGAAACAATACACACAAACAGAGATATTAATTCACCACTTTTTTCCTATTCCGTCTTTTCCTTAAAAAATTTCTACATTTTAAAATTTTTATATTATTAATTTTAGAAGATATCCTCCTATCAATAGAGGAACTACCACATACAAATAAACTAGTTCAAAATAAATAATTTCTTAATCTCCGCCTTTGCCTCTCCATTACCCATCTCGATCATTAATCAATTCTTAAATGGTCTTGAATTAATATTTTACATAATAATGTTTTATTTTTCATTGCATTTCAAACCATTTAGATCAAATTTTAATAGTTTGGATTTATTTATTTCTTTCATAATTTTATAGTTTAACAATAATTTTGAAAAATATTAACGTATGACATTTCAAAATTGATCTAATGGTAAAGATGTGCGGTGGAGAGAAAAATAAATGGATATGTTATAGAAGCAATTAAGTATTATCTTCAGGAGATAAGTATGTGCCCAAAAAATGTCATGATAAAACATTTTTTAACTTTGAAATAGAAGCTTGTAATTATATCATTTTCGTACCAAAATTATTTTTCCCAAAATGTGAGCATACATACATAAGTTTTTTTTTTTGGGGGGGAAAAATGCATGCGTATAATAGAAATTTAGAAACAAATATCATAAGACTATAGTGCATAACAGCGTAAAGGAAGAAAGAAATGGGATAACACTTACCTGTGAGGCAAAAAACGACTTTATGGAGGCATTTAGATCCGAGGTGAATTCATCATTGGGCTGAAAATTGAAGCATGTAGATAAGATAACCCTAGTTGAAACTTGCAGACGCTTAGAGAAAATTCTCATTTTAGGGCATTCTTCAAAAGTAAAATGTTCCAAACATGGGAAGTTCAAAGTATAATCCCCAGAGTAAAAGCAACCAAGCCTTGGGAGAGACACAAGAGTCAATGTTTTGAGCTTACTGAATGTTATATCATCTTCATCAGATCCATCTCCTTCTTTAGACACTATTTCTTGTACGGATGCACAGCTTTCAATGAATAGCTCCTCAAGTAAAACTAAACTCCTTGCAGTTGATAATGTGAACAAGGATACCAATCCATCACAGTAATCCACATGCAATTCCCTTAATTTTGAGAATGACACAACGGAGGGTACCAAGTTCCTCAAACATGGACAATCCTCCACCTCCAAGGTTTCTAGGTTTTCAAGGATTGGGGCTACCCATAACTGCTTTAACCCAATGGATTCTAGATACCGAAGACGAGTTAGTTCCAATCCTTTGAGGTGTGGGAACAATATGTCATTATCAGGATCCAAATCAGGTCTTTGGGAGCTGAAAATTTCTTTGAACGTGCTACAAGCCACTTGGAGCTTTTCTAAATTGGGAAGTGATGTCTTTTGGAAAAGCTCACATACTGGAAATTCAACTGAATCTTCATGAAAGCATTGCAACACAAGAAATTTCACCCTTTGATGAATAAAGTTTGCCTCACACTTTCCTTGCCAACTGATATTCATGATTTCTGCCTTGCTTAGTGACAATTTTTCAAGGTTGGGAAAATCCTGGTAAGAACCAAATCATTATTAAACTAGGAAAAATTAATAAGAGGATCTATTACAGACATTTTCTTATATTAATCAAACACGTGAACAATATCTCTACTTTCATGTACTTAAAAAAGAGCTTAACTTTAATTTATTAGAATCAGTCAAAACATATAAGATACCTTTTCAAATGAGACAATGACTTCCACGTCTATTGGAACATGACCACGACCCTTTGATGGAAAGATTGTCAATTGATCACAGTGATATACATCCAATTTCTTAAGCTTCGGCCACTCTACATTGTTCAGTCCTGAATAGATACACTTTAGCTCTGGCAATACCCGTAGTTTCAACTCAATCAAGCTAGGGAAGATGACTAAATTTCTGGTAGCTTCTTCTGTTGAGGCAATCTCTTCGCTTGCAACAATCTCAAATAATCCCTCACAACATCCAACTTCTAGTATTTCAAGGCTTCCAAGTTTGCCTTGGGACATTGATGCTGGAAACAAGCGCTTAAGGCTTCTGCATTCTTGAACATAGACATGTTGCAGAGATTGGAAGTTGAGAATTTCTTGAGGGTCCTCACTCCAAACTTGCTCCAGATTGGATAACTCTTCCAATATCATACTTTTCAGTGAAAAAGAGAGAGTGGTGGACAAGGATCCCACCTCAAATATTGCCTTTATGAAATCACAATTTCGTACTTCTAAATCTTCCAAGTTATTCAGGAGACCGAGCAAATGACAAGGGATCACATAATGTGATAAAAACGGGCAATCATCCACTATCAAAGTCTTCAACTTTCTGAAGCCTCCATCAGGGACAGTCATTACACCATGCCACATCTCTTCGAGCTCAGGGTGATATTCAAGCCATAGATATTGCGCACCACGTGTATATTGTGCAAGCTGCTCGCTCAGGGCAAATAATTCGGTTTTATTTTATTTTTTTTGATGTGTATAATTCGGTTTATTACATTCCTTCAGTTTCATCATATTTACATGTGCAAATCATAAATAATTAATATTACTTTAATTAACTGATTCTTCTCACCTTCGACTCCCCCCCGCCCCCAAACTTTTGTTGACTTTCCTCCATATGAAAAGTTAAATACACTCAATTAAATGCATTTGAACAAAAATAAACAAATTTACAAAGTAATTACAACCTATTAGCTTTGGCAAATTATCATTAATTTAAAAAATTATATGTAAATTTCATAATCAAACATTTAGGTCAGATATTATTAGTTTGGATTTATTTATTTGTTTGTTTTCATAATTCTTGTACTCTAACAATAATTTTGGAAAATATTAAATTACAACAGTTCAAAATTTTATTAATAGTAAAGATGTGTAGTGTGGAGAAAAATAAATGGATATATTATAGAAGCAATTAATTATAATCTTCTGAAAATAAGTATGTACCATAGAAGAAATATCACGAAAAAATATCTTTGAACTTCATTTCCGTAACAAAATTATTTTTCCAAAATGTCAACATACACACATTAGTTTGTATTTTCGCAACAAAAAAAAAAAGCGTATAATAGAAATCTAGAAACAAATATCATACGGCAACGTAAAGGAAGAAAGAAATGGTATAACACTTACCTGTGAGGTGAAAAGCAATTTCATGGAGGCATTTAGATCCGAGCCGCAATGTTGTAGAGGAAAATTTGTGCATTTGGTGGGGGCAGTCGAAATTTTCAGATTCTCAGCTGCATTTATGGCTCCATAAGAGAAAACTCTCATTTGGGGACATTCATGGACAGTAACAAGTTCCAAACAAGGGAAGTTCAACGTAGAATCCCCAGAGCAAAAGCATCTGAGGCTTTGGAGAGACACAAGAGACAATGTTTTGAGCTTGTCGAATGTTATATCATCTTCATCAAATCGATCTTCGTCTTCAGAAACTATTTCTTCTATGGATGCACACCTTACTATGGACAGCTTCTCAAGTAAAACTAATCTCCTTGCAGTAGTTGACAAGGGGAACAAATAAGCCAATCGATCACAGTCATATACATGCAATTCCCTTAATTTTGAGAAAGATACATAAGATGGTACCAAGTTCCACAAACGATGACAATATTGCACTCCCAAGAATTCAAGGTTATCAAGAATTGGGGCAACCAACGATTGCTCTAAACCAATGGATTCGAGACGTGGCAGAGAAAATAGTTCCAATCCTTTGAGATGTGCAAACAACATGTCATTGTCAACATCAGCATTTGGTTTTTGAGAGCTGAAAATTTCTTTGAACTTACTACAACCCACTCGAAGCTTTTCTAAATTGGGAAGTGATCCCTTTTGAAAGAGCTCATATGGAAATCTGTCTGAATCCTCATGGAAGCATTGCAATATGAGAAATTTCACCCTCTGAATGAAGTTTGCCTCACACCTTCCTCGCCAATCAATATTCAAGAAGTCTGCCTTGTTCAATGACAATTGCTCTAGGTTGGGAACACCCTGGTAAAAACCAAATTATCAAGAGACAAGGAAAGAACAATAAGAGGATCTATTTCAGATGATTTCTTAAATTAATCAAGCACATGAACAATATACAGTTTGGAGTGAAGAGGGAGAAAAAAGCTCAGCTTTTGTTTAGGACATGCCAAAATATGAAATAAAAGACTAAAATGACAACTATGTTGCCATATAAAATTGAAGAATTAACATATGGAAGGGGAAAATACCTTTTCGAATGAGACAATAGCTTCCACATCAAATGGAACACGATCATGACCCTGTTTTGGAAAGATTCTCAATCGGTCGCAATGACATACATGAAATACCTTTAACTTTGGCCATTCCAGATCACCTAGTTTGGGAAAGATGCACTTGAGCTGTGCCAAATTCTGTAGATGCAATGTGGTTAAATTGGGAAACATAATTGAGTTTGAAGCCGTCCCCCTTAGGATTGTTTCATCGTTTGCAATAATTTCTACCAATCCCTCACAAGATCGCACTTCTAGAAATTCAAGGCTTTCAAGTTTGCGTTGGGACATCGATGCTGTAAATAAGCTCTTGAGGCTTTTGCATCTATCAACATCCACATGTTGCAGAGATTGGAAGTTGAGAAATTCTTGAGGGTCCTCGTTCCAAATGTTCTCCAAAGCAGGAAGTTGTTGCAAGCTCAATGATTTCAAGGGAATATAGAACGGGGAAGACAAGGATCCCACTTCAAATATTGCTTTAACAGAATCACAATTTCGTACTCGTAAATGTTCCAATTTACTCAGGAAGCCAACCAAATGAAAAGGGATCACATAATTTGATAAAAATTGGCAACCATCCACTATCAAAGTCTTCAACTTATTGAAGCCTCCATTTGGGACTTTCATTGCACCATGCCATATGTCTCCAAGCTCAGGGCAATCTCCAAGCTTTAAATATTGCACACCTGTAAGTAGCACAAGCTGCTCCAAAAAAAAAAGTTGATATATTAGATGATTATGTATTGCTTTTTTGAGTTTCATTATAAGCAAATGGAAGATAAATTCCAAATGCACTATGATTTATTGTAAATGTAAAGTTAATTTTTGAAATTGACGGCATTTATTATTTTTGACCCATAAGAAACCATTTTAATATTTTAAAGAAATTCTAATATTTTAAGATTGCAGATCCATTTGGAATTTCCCTACAGTTTGGCCCATTTTTCAGACAAATATTCTTTAAATTGATTACCATACCCCGCGATGACTCATGCAGTTAAACAACACGTAATATTATCTCTTACTATTAACAACATGCAAGCTAGAACGTAGACCATGCCACGTGTCGAAGTGTAAGCAACGAGAAACTGATCAGCATGTTAGGCAAAAGATACAAGTTGAGTAGTTGAGATGGAGGTAGGAATAAAACTTACTTGTGATTGAAATTTTAGAGAAAAGTTTTACCAAACTGTTATGAGACCGATAATGCCACATGACAATGAATGTTTGGCTTTGATGCTATATGTTGTAAAGAATGTTGGGCAAGTGACAGGAGCCAAAAATTAGGGTAGTTGAGATTAAGGTATTGAAGTGTATGTGTGGTTAAACAAGAATTGACATGATAGAAAATGATTATAATGAAAAACTTTTGGCTAATTAAAATGACAGAAAAAACGCATAATATGTATATTTCATTATAATAAGTTAATTAAAAAGTATTAACAATCAATTAAAAACTAGAAATTAAAATATAATTTCGGTCATGTGCGTGCGTGTGTGTATTTTCCATTGAGACAAAAGGGATATAGAATGATATGTTGATGCACAAAAACCACTAAAAATTCTACCCACAGCTAAAACAAGTATGGGGAACGGATAGGTACCTTCTCATTGAACAATTTCTGCACTGTGGTGTTGAGATCATTGCAGTTGAGCCAAACATAGTCGTTAGTTGAAGTATATATTGCTACAAAGTTGGGCGCTCTTATGACTCCTTGAGAGAAACATTTCATCTTTGGGCAATTTTCTATAGTTGGTGTTAACAAAGCTGAAAATTCTAAAGTGGCATTCCCCGAGTAAAAACTCATTAAGCTTGGCAAATGACTCAAAGTTATAAACTCCAGCCTTTCAAATATTATCTCATCGGAAGCTGATTCCTCTTTCTCATGGCAAACTATGTGTGTTATTGATCTACATTCAATTACCTCCATTTTATGAAGTTGCACCAAACTCTTGGCCACTGGAGATGAGAATAGAGAAACTAACCCATGGCATCGCCTTATTTTCAATTTTTTCAAATTGCAAAATGATACTGTAGAAGAAGACACCAGAATATTCAAATGAGGACAATCACTTATTTTCAGGACTCTGAGATTCTTACGAACTGGTTCCACCCACGAGTTATCGAACCCAATGGATGAGAGCAAAGGCAGCGATTCTAGAACTAATCGTCTCACTTGTGCAAGTATATTGATGATATGATCAATATCTTTAGGGCATTGAGAGGGGAACATCACATGTAGTGCATTGAAATTCCTTATCATAAGAGCTTCTAAATTAGGTACCTTCTCAAAGAATTTAAAAGGCAAAGTAGCTCCTCCTTCATAGGAATCACCGAAGCACAACTTCAGAAATTTCAGTTTCTGAAGCAGGTTATCAGGAAAATGTCCATGTGATAACATCATCTTGTCTTTTAGGGTTAAAGATTCCAAGTTCGAAATAACCTATTAGTGAAAACAGACAACAAAGAATAACAATAAGGATTGAGTAGATTGATACTTCCTCTTCACAATACAAGGGAAAAAGAAAAGAAAGTAAAGGAATGATGGAAATGAAGATCACATTACCTTTTCAGCCATAAAAAGTGATTGTCTGCTAATTGCAATATTAGCTTCATCCTCACATCCTCCTGCTCCTTGATGGCTTTGAAAATCAGATGCAAATAATTCCAACTTATTACAATTAAACGCACATAGACTCTCCAAGCTGGTAAATTCCAGAGTGTTTCTTCCAGCATAAAAGGACTTGAGGTTTGGTAAATGACACAGTCAAAGTGGTTAAATATTGGAATTCAAATTTTCAGCTAGCTCCCTTCGAATCTAAAATATTTTTATAATAAAATATATGACAATTTTAAAAAAGACGCATAAAATTTCAGAATAATATAATTTTTTTCAGTTAGGAGTTATTAAAATATGTAAAAAAATAAATTTAACAATTAAATAAAAATTCAAAAAAATTATACTGTTAGAGTGTTAGTAAGATATAATTAACAAAGTAGAAGAATCATTTGTTATCAAATATAAGTAATATTATATTACATATCTTTCATGAATATTTAATATCGCCTTCGCGAAAATGTCTCTTACAAATATTATTGATTTTCCTAATTTATAACAGAAAATAATAACTATGGTGGGTGCATGAGCAAAAACCCAAAAAAAAAAAAACTAGAGCAAAACCCCAAAAAAAAAACTATCTCCGGTCATTAACATAAAAGCTAGTTTGACATTCAATTTGATCTTAAATATAAGATGTTAGTCTACTTTTTCTCTAATATTTATCTATTTTGCCCTCAAGTAATCTCTATAGTAGTTGCATATAATAAGAAGTTATTATCAATGATACTTTATACACATGATTAGTAAGGGTATTTTAGAAAAGATAATATCTATTTACCATAAATAACTAATTTAACTAACTTTCTTAATCTCTTCAAATTAATCAATTAGATTTAATAGTGAGAAGCTGAGGTATACTTTCACAGTCCCCAAAACATGCATATGTGTAAAGAATCACTGGCAAGGTTACGAGAATCACGCGTGAATGTTTCTCTTTTATTATTTAGTGCGAATCTCCAGGATCAAGGGATAGATTAAGGATGCTTCAAATAAAACAATTCATCTGTTTTGTAACCTTAATCTTGTTAGAAGAGGCAAAACTTATTCTTGATCTTTCATGTCTCGCAAAGCATTGTCGACTGAATGTACCTTTGGCGTGCATAAAAGATCACAAGAATAAGTTTTGCCTCTTCTAACCAGATTAAGGTTACGAGACATATAAATTATCTTATTTGAAGCATCTTAATCTATCTTGGGATCATGGAGATTCGCATTAAATAATAAAAAACTGAAGCAAGAGATTTTGATTATTCCTAAAATTTAACCTCATTTTGGTTTTCAACTCCCTTAAATAATAAATCAAATATGGGCTTTTGATTATCAGTGTAATGTTCTACCAACAAAAGAAAAAAGCGCAAAACCACTGGTATTAACCCTCATGGCTGTTTAAACTGGTGAACGCTGCATTTGCATGGGCCTACTAATAAATAATAAATCAAATATATAACAAAATGTAAAGAGCCACCAGAAATCTGTAGTGAAAAAAAGGCCGACCATATTGCAAGTAACCACCCATTGCCCCATATCTTGATGAAAGTCAAAGAGAACCCATTTCCACAAAATTTAAAGAGCTTTTGTATTATTTCTTTCCCTATGTAATTCGATCTCAATGGAGATAATTCTTTCATGAAAATTTGTAGGAAAAAATTAACTAACCTATAAATTTTTATGATTTTACTAGATTTTTAATCAAGTGTATGTAATATTTTATCGGGTTTTGATAGTTTTACCTGCTTCTTTTAGGTCCCTATAATTTTTTAAATTAAGTCCTTAGAGTTTCACCTAATTTCTAATTAGATTTTTTTGTTAGAGTCCTAATGCCTATGCTATACCTCATATATATTTTTATTTTTATTTATTTTTTTATAACTGAAGCTCCTATCTTTTGTACATTGTTTGCCGAAATTAAAAAAACTCACACATTGTAATAAAATATATGAAAAGTTTAAAAAAAGATAGGTAAAATTCCAGAAAATTATACTATTAGTCAATTATAAATAATATATTCTTGTAAATTCTATATTTGACATCTATGTCTATTTATGTTTTATTATTAGCATTATCATCCTCATCGGCAAATTATTTACTGTTATAGTCAGATAGTCTCTCATTAAAGCCGGAAGTTGTCAAATTGTGACTTTAAAAAGGGGCAAGGGATGGACACAAGAAAAGAGGAAACAGAGGTGGAAACCCGCGGGCAATTATACTTTAATTTTTTTTTTTTTAATTAAAGACCAAATGCCAAACATAAAAAAATAAGGTTAAAAGGACAAATAAATGCTCCTAAACTATTGGTCAAGACAAAAATTAGCCTCCCAAAAATATAAAATCCCTAACAAATCAATTCGGCAGCAATGAAATTTCTGAATTTGGTGAAGTGACCTTATTGCCCCCCGCATAAAAATACTCAGACGTCCAGTGGTTGGCGGCAGCCACCACCGACCATCAGTTAGAGAATCTTTGGCAAAGATTGATCAAAGTAGGACTGGAGGTCTCAAATTATTACCCATAATTAAAAAAGAGTCACCAAAGGTCAAAATATAATTACATTTACATTGATTTAGCACTTTAAAATATTTTTTTTAATAGCATTCAATATTTTAAAGCAAATTTTGGCACTATTTTACCTTTAAAATTATTTTTTCAGTGACAACTGATAATCAACACCCTAAACTATTTTTGTTTTCAATTTTTTCTTTTATTATTTTTATATTAAAATTATAAAGAAATTACCTTTCACCTTCTCCCTTTTATTTTTTTCACATACTTTTCTTTCCATTTAAACAAGGGATCACCGTCAAAAATTTACCTTTTCGATATTGATTTATATTACTTCCAAATATATGAGTAGGCAATATAATTTTGGAAAAATACACACATATCTACAAGCTTTTTTTGTACGTATTGTAAATATTCTAAATTATGGCAGCCGGCCACCAATGCTTTTGTTTTTTTTTATAACAAGGGAAAGAGAAAAACAAGCTACTAGTCTCCAATATCTGCATCCATGACTTCCCTTAGTGCGTGTGCGTTATAGATCGTCAGGCCCAAGGCGTTGCTCAGCGCACGTTTGGCTAATCCGTCGGCAATCAAGTTGTCCATTCGATCGGTGACCTGGAAGCTTACTCGCCAATCTCGTTGGGTCATGAGTTTGAGCAGTTGGATGAGCATCCATTCGTCGTGAGTGTGAGGGGTTTGATTGCTAACTAAGTCCACCACTTCACCCGAGTCAGAGCGAATGTTGACGTACTTCACGTTGTTCTCCAAAGCTCTTTTTAGGCCCAAACCCCTGACACTCACGATGAACGGATGCTCATCCAACAGCTCAAACTCATGACCCAACGAGATTGGCGAGTAAGCTTCCAGGTCACCGATCAAATGGACAACTTGATTGCCGACGGATTAGCCAAACGTGCGCTGAGCAACGCCTTGGACCTGACGATCCATAACGCACACACGCTAGGAGAAGCCATGGATGCAGACACCGGAGACTAGTAGCTTGTTTTTCTCTTTCCCTTGTTATCCAAAAAAAAAAAAAGCATTGGTGGCCGGCCACCAATGCTTAAGCTCTAGTGGCATTGCGGGTTAAGATGGTTTTTTTTTTTTTTAAGTGAAGGGCTGTTTCCTAAACCATTAGGGGTACCTGGCTTTTTTTTTTTTTTACCATGATTTCCAAATTCTACTTTGTGTTTCCTAACCAATTAATAAGGATTGCGCAAATCCCAATCACCCATCTGAATTTTATAGATTTTGAAATTTTTTTAATGACAAATATGTAATTAGACCCATAGTTAATTTGTTTTTGTTAGAAATAAGAAAAATCACATTGTTGTAAGGACAGCATTAAATATTCGAGGAAATTTGTAATAATGGCTAATATATTCGATAATAAAGGATTCTGTTGGAGATGTAAAGTGTCATCAGTTTGTTAAAGTAGGCTCTATATATATAAAAGGTCTTTAGTTTGTGTGATCAGTGTGATGGGATGTGCATCCCAGCAATAATGAGATAGGGTAACTTGGGTTTCTCTTTAAATAGAGGATAAGGTCTCTTCCTCCCCAAATCTTGGGATTAGTCCATTGTGAATTGTTGCTCAACAGTTAACGAAGATGTTTTTCCCATTCTATTATGTTTATTCTTCAATTAATATGCTTTACAGATTCTTCTAATTTATTGCTCAGATAAATCGAAGGAGTATTCGGCTTTAAGAAGAAATCAAATTAAATTATTAAACTAAAGAGAGACTCATCGACTGTACGTACTTATAGAAATTGAAAGATAATGCTTTTGGTTGACTATAAAATTGAAAGATGGCGGACCATTTATATTGCTCTCCGTGAAAGAGAATACATTATTTCCAGCAAAGAGGGGCTGGGGGCATCAAACCCAACCAAAAGGCCTCAACCCCTTAACCAAGTACTCCCTCTGTTTCTTATTAGAAGTTTCAAATAACTAATTTATAGATAACGAACAAACAGTTAAAACTAGTTAAAAAAAGTTAGAAATATATTTTTGTTTTCAAATATGCCCTTGTAATAAATGAGAAAAAAAAAGGAAAGAAAATGCGATAAAAGAGATTATGACAAAAGAGAGAGAATGAATTATTAAGGGTAAAATTGTAAAATGTGCATTAAATATTACAACAAATACTAAATTGAAGCTTATAAAATAGACCACACTCCTTCCTCAGTTGAAGCTTATAAATAAATAGGACCGGAGGGAATAGTCTTTACAACTAGCTCTCCATGAAAATCTGTATTAGAAAGAAACAGATTCCTAATATCTGACACTAGAACCCCGCCTAGCTTCCAGTCCGGGCAAGAGGCAACATCCCTTGCAACCTGAACAAGACCCAGACAATCGGATTCAACAAAAACTTTTCCTAAGCCACGATCTTAATTTCCACTTGCCAACAGCACCAAGAAGAGCTTTCTCCTCGCATTCAAAAGCTAAAGACGCCAACCCTTGTTGGCAAAAGATGCCAACCGCATCACCATTCTCGTCCCTAATAATAAAGCCAAATCCGCACTTTCCTGTGGAAGGAATAAATGAACCATCAATATTAAGCTTAGGTCCGTTTGGTACAAAGCTTTGAAAATAAGGAATAAAAATTAGGATTGGGATTGAGAAAAACTATCAAAGAGTATTTAGTATGAGTAATTTCTTGTTACATGAGGTTAAATAATCCCATTAGGTGGGATTGAAGAATTTAGTCCATCTTAAAACATTAGTTTTTGGAGGCATTACAGTATCAATATTTGCTGAAATATTATAAATGGTGTTAAAGTAGTGACATGGATTCACAAGATGGGGCTTAGCTGGATTTTGTGTACGGCTAACATATTATGTGGAGGGGGAATGAGATTTCAAAATACATCGCAGTGAATAGCTTCTCCAACAAACAATGAGAAGAAAAACAAAGGAAGCTAAACAACTACATTTTGAGAACCTATTCTTTGTTTTTTTCCTCATTATTATTTATACAAGATCCAACTAGGTGTCATCTTGTGATTCATATTACCACTTTAATATAATTTATGACATTTCAGTATATTTTAACATTGTTACACCTCCAAGGACTAACATTTTAAGATAGTCTATGGGCTTGAAATTCGAAAGACCAAAACCAAAGTAGTCTCAAATTCCAAGGACAAAAATTATATTAACCCTATTAGTTATTATTGGAGGAAGTAAAATTTAAGATTGAAGTTGAACTTCCCTTAATTGTCGCTTTGGGGTTACTCCAAAAATTAACCGAATTAATGCAATATAGTGCACAACTCGGGTCGTTTCACTTTGAGGAGCCGAAAACGAAATTAAACCCTAGTAAATAAATGCAAGTAACCTAAACTATAAAAAGAGATTTTTTATTTTGAAAAGCTGTTAATTAAATACTGCGAATCAAATTGAAATTAAAATACCTTTTTTTTTGTTTTTATATAAAAGTGATTAAAATGAATGGAGATTAAAGAAATGAAAATGAGACACACAAATAACACTTATAAAAATCAATCCTTCAATTCAACAACGCAGGCAATCATCACTCTAAAAGATGTGGGAGTTAAAAACAATGAATTAAGAATTATAATTAAGCTTTTGATCCAACAACCGAGCCACCTCGAGTTGCCACAAAATATTTTCCTAAAATCCCAACTTACTAACTGCAACCAGAATAGTAAAATGGGATTAAGGATGCTAAAAACCAATGCTTAATTAGAACTCTTAAATTCAAAATAACAGAATTAAAGCTAGCAAGAGACTATATGATCCAAAATTCTAAGCCACCTTAGAAAATCACAATATATTAACTCCAAAATCAACATAAATGTCATAACCACAACATCATAATTGAAATCAAAGCTCTAAACAGCCCAATGTCAAATGCTAAACAATAATCCAGTCACAATAATCCCCAAATATAATCAGATTAAGCAATACAATTATCCCAACAATTAGAAAAACTATCCTAAGACCTAGGATTGTTAAACAATTATTGAGTAGGAAATTAAAGTAACTTAAACTCCCCTTTGATGATCCAAGCTCCTGCTATTATTGTTGAATTAGAGGATCTCAGAGCTCTAGCCACGCATAGCCATGAAAAATGCCACAATCAATCCTTTTTTGCGGTCAGCCATGGAAAAATACTGTTCACGCCGTCAGCTCCCTGCTTCGTCGCCGTCGAGCTCGTGTGCGTGTTTTTATTTCAGCGACGCTTGCGTCCTCTGCTCCTCCGTTCGGCCTCGCTCTGTTTCGTATTCGCCGGCGTTCAGCTCCTCGGTTTCGTTCTCTCCCGTTCGGCTTCGGTTCGCTCTCAGCCGCCGTCTGCGTGTGTGTGTTCCGTTCTGCCCAGCGTCCCCTGTTTTGCTGATGATGATTATTAGGTTGGGGCAAAACGCAACGTTTTGCCCCAGCTTATTATTATTTATTTTTCTTTTCTTTTAATTTAATTTTTTTTTCTTTTATTTATTTATTTATTTATTTTTGAATCTTCCAAGAACCTGGAAGCAAAATTCAAGGATAAGGTAGCATTAATTGTCCTTAAAAATCAATTAATCATAATTAAATCAAAACATGACAATTTTGCCCCTATAAAATAATAATTCAAAATAAAACAAAATAAATCAATTAAGGCAAAAAGGGACCAATTAAGCTGACAAAACTCATATAAAAGATACCAAAATATATAAAAATAATTGAGTTTGTCAACTCCCCCACACTTAGCCTTTTGCACTCCTGGGCAAAACTTCATTAAAGAAGAATTCAATAAAGAGACTTAATGCAAGCAAACATAAAACTAACTAAGCATGAATGTGCAATTAACTCAAACAATCTTTATTCCTAATTAATCAGCAATCATAGAATATTTTAGTGCAAAGAAATTAACACGAGAAACATAGCAGGATAAAAGAAGAGAAACATAATAGAGCTCACATATGGTACAAGTGTTTCACTCATCTCTCAAATGGGAAAAATTTCACTCAATCCACCTAGATTAGCACCTACCATAAGCTTGTAGAAATTCTAATATCTCCACCACTAACATACCTTAGACTCATGATCAAGGGGACTTGAAGGGTTGTAATGTTGGAAACTATGGCCAAATGAATGAAATGGACTAACAAGTGAAATGCATGAGTAATAAATAATCAACTCAAAGTGAGCTAAAGTACAATCATGAAACAACACCAATGTGCAGATTTTAACCTTTTGAGACAAAAATCTTTGCTCTTCAAACCACCATGGAATGCCTTATTTCAAATTTATTCTTTTGTTGCAACTTATTTTCTCTTTTTTTTTTAATAACTTTCTTTCTTTGGCTTTTTCTAAACATTTTCTTCTCTTTCTTGCCTTTTTCTATTTCCTTTTTTTTTTTCTTTTTTTCTTTTTTTTTTTGGCTTCCAAACCCACGAAGGCAAAGATATAGACATTGTGACGTACTTTTCAAAATGAAAAATAAGATAACTCATGCAAAACACCTGTTGAAAAGCAATGAATAGAATGAAAGTGAAGGCTTAAAGGGGTGAACAAAGGTTACATGAAGTGGTTTGTGTTTGGGTAAAGGTTTAGAAATGAATGCCCCTATCATCTTCACAAATTTAGGTATTAATGCAGCTTTGAAAAAGAATCTAGACAAGTTCTAGAGGTTAACCAAAACTAGGTGAAAATCACACAAGATGAGAAAGAATACATGGCTCAAAAATCCTTCCATCAAGGCTTTCTCCAAGATGTTTCCTCCTTAATGATCAAGCTATGAAACAAGGTTAATAACATTGCACTAAAGGCATTCTACTATGCTAATCAACTAAGAACAGAAATCACTCAAATCAAATGCAATCAAACTCAGCCGTACAATATTCGCAAGCATTGTGCAAAAAGATTTTTAAAAGAGATGCCCAAGGATTACAAAAGTCAAGTCAGCAACAGAGAGAACATCAAATCGCCCATACAGCAGTGCAAACACTGAGGCGAATGA